TTTTTATTTCTAGTTGAGACAGGGTTTCATCATGTTGGCCAGGCTGGTCTCAAACTCCTGACCTCAGGCAATCTACCCACTTCGGCCTCCCAAAGTACTGGGATTACAGGTGTGAGCCTCCATACCCAGTCTTGTTCTAGTTATCTTTTCAATGATTTTTTTCAAGAAGATTATAAAGGAAATCATCTTGGCAGACAAAAATAGTGTCTCCCTCCAGGGAAGAGAGATTTGCTTACTGTGTATGATAATAAAGATAATGTTGGCCAGGTACGGTGGCTCATGCCTGTAATCCTAGCACCTTGGAAGGCCAAGGCATGCAGGTCACTTGAGCCCAGGAGTTCAAGATCAGCCTGGGCAACATAATGAGACTCCATCTCTACCAAAACAACAACAACAACAACAAAAACAAATTAGCCGGGCATGGTGTGTGGTCCCAGCTACTTTGGAGGCTGAGATAGGACAGTTGCTTGAGCCTAGAAAGTCAGGGCTACAGTGAGCCATGATGGAGCCCCTGCACTCCAGCCTGGGTGACAAAGCAAGGCCCTGTCTCCAGAAAAAAAAAAAAGATAATATCTCACTCTGGTATAAAAGTTGGGCAGGTTTGCCAGCAGTTCTTTCAACCTTTCAGAAGATTTGGGTTTCTGAAACTTCGGGCTCTTCTGTATGATGAACCCAATATGTGCTCTGTATTCACCTGGGCCACTCTGCATCACCCTGTGGTGCCAGAGAACGAAAGGAACCAATGCTGCTTGCTGTGCTTTGTTTCTGACCCTGGAGTCTCGTGTCTTCTGCCAGCATACATGGAACTGCGGCAGACTAACTCCTATAAAGATGCTCATCTGAATCACCTGTGGGGTTTCAAAAATCCATACCTAACTGGGCCCTACCACAATGATTCAGCTGTTTTCACTATTTCCCCATCCTAGGGCAGATGGCCGGTGGGGGGCGGCGGCGAGGTGCGGTTTGTGGGCAGTGGTGTCAAAGTCTAGCAGGGAGGAGTGAGGAGAGAGGAGGTTGAAGATGAGGCTTCCAGGATCCAGGACTACTCCCTCTGTCCACTTCCTGACTCACCCAGTAGCATGGTGACAGGGGTGTGTCTCTGCGTGTATGTAGAGGAACATGAATAGTAGAGGAACCCCAGACCTGTAGCACATGGAGTCCAAAGCTACTGTGGAGAATTCTCCCAATTATCTGACTTGTAAAACTGTTAGCAGAGTCGATTCTCATCAACAAAGGCGTCTCTTGTCAGGAATGTACTTAATGTGGCCTTTATGCTTATAAGCACATCATGGATTGTTTTTTTCTTCAATGGCAGTTGCAAGAAATACAATTCACTGCAGCTGTTGTATTTTCAGGGTGGAAATCGATAGTCGTGTTCTATCTATGAGTGTGTCTACGTGTGAAGTGGCATATTCTACCCATTCCAACTCTCCCTAGTGAAACATTTCTATCAACCTGGTTAGGGGAAAGGCTGAATTATCTTTTATAAAGTCCTAGCCAGAGGAAGAGTCCATCAGAGCCCCAAAATACCAGATAAAAGTGTTGCAGAAGTGTACTGTTCATAAAAACATGAAATTAGGTATCTGGATTGTTGAGCATTTTTCGGTACTTGTCAGCTCTTCAATATTTGTGATTTGCCGTGGTCTTTACATTCCAGACATCACTTTTGTACCTAATTTTGTATTTGTAATTTTATATTCTTCTTTTCTTAAGGAAAATACTCCAGACTATATAAGATGTAGGCCCACAAAACCTGAATCGATTCCTGACAGAGTAATGAAGTAACAGCTGGAATGACAGCCACTAAATGGCCAAGCCAGGATTTGAAGCCGGAATTCAGGCGTGGGCCTCAGAAGGCATCCTGGACTCTAACATGCGTCCCTGGAGTCAGGGTCTTGTTGAGGTGCAGATTCTGACTCAGTAGACATGGGCTGGGGCCCAGGTGCCGTGAGGCTGCTGCTCTGTGGGCCGCACTCAGGAGCCAGGGTCTCTCAGCTGATGTGCTCTATGGCGGCTCTCGGGCAGTGCAATTAACCACTGCCACTCAGGGAGGTGGTGGGACTTGCCCAGATAGCAGAGTCACAGGCTGAACTCACAGCTCCTGCCCCCGCCTACCATGGTGGCAAGGGGGCTAAGTGTGGAGTCCCAGGAGTCAGCTCTGGGTCCCCAAGAGGAATGTCCCTTCCAGCCCCCTACACCTCAGGTGGAAGCTGTCACTCCTGTTGCCTGGGATTGGCCTGAGATGCTGCAGTCAGTCTCGACCTGCACTGGCATTTCCAGTGTGACAGCCGTACCTAGCTGGACTCTATTTACCTGGCTTTTTCCACCTTGGTGACAGCCCGCTCAGCCCCGCTAAGCATCAGTTTCCCTATGCATGAAACGAGCTGACCCACCTCATAGAGTTATTCAGGATTAAATGAGGCGTTATATGACTAGTTACACAATCTGACTCTGCGTGTGTTGGCCCACAGCACCATGGAACTGATCATTGTTGTTCCTGGGCTAAACTGACCTTCGGAATCAAGTGACTACTTCTTGCAGCATGTACTCTCAGCTTCCTTTTTCTCAATGTGTGTGAAGAAGAGACGGTGTTAGAACAGAAGGACATCTGCAAACATTCACACCCTGCAGAGGTCTGAGCAGAGGCTAAAGGCTTGATGGCAGCTAATTGTTCCCTGAGAGATGTTAGCTTTGCCTGTCTGTCTCTCTTAGCATGTTTGCAGCTGTGCAGCAGGCTGACAGCCTCTGCCATTCTTTTTCTGCCTGGGTCCTCCGAAATGCACCCCAAATCCTAGCCATGCTGCTTGATCACCACAGGCCTGCCTGGTGACAACAGGCTGTGGTGATTTTATTTGTCACCTTTAGAGCTTGTATAGCAGCATTTCTTTCCTAGAGGCTCCAGATGTTCGTCCTGCAGACATCTCTTCCAGGAGAAAAGGGAATAGATGAGGGTAGGCTGTATTTCCTGGCTATCCCAATCCTCTGGTCATTAGCATCCCCCAGAAGGACATACAGCATAATGGCTGCAGTCTCTATGTGGCACTGCCCCGGGCTCTGTAGACTGGAAGGTCCCACATCAGTTGCAGCCTGGCCTGGATTTGGGTTATTTTAAGCTGCCCCTGCAATGCAGCTGCAAATCCAGAAAAAGAGGAATGAGGGGTCTGCTCATCACGGAAGAGCTCTCTAAGCACATGTTGTCACTGGCTTAGAGAGCAGGAGACAGTATAATTACAGTCATTCCAAGAGGTTCAGCATCGCCCCTTTCAGGAGCACCCTTTGCATTTCTTTGGTGCCAATACCATTTTTTTAAAAAACCCTCCTGGTAAATTTCACAATGCCACTTCGTAAAAGCAAACTGCCTCACTTAGCTCCTTGGTTATTTGTTCAGGATTTAATATATCTCCATAGAATTTTTTCATGGACAGGATTGAAGCCCCTGACCCTCCCCTTTGGGAGAAGGGAGTGTCCAAGAGGAGGGGGAGGACCTTTCATCTTCAACCCCATGACCTCAACTGCATTCCACACGAAGCATTTAAACTGTTAGGAAAAGATCCTGATGCACTTTATGTTCCAAATACGGCATTTGGCAGAGAACATTGCCAAATGTTTGGCATTGTTTGCCAAGTGTTTGGTCCCTCACCCAAACCTTCATCTGAAACGAGATGTGATGACAAGGGCACTTCACCTTCGTGGTTTTTCCCAAAGTCCATAACCTTAGTCCAATTGAAAGACAAACCAAAATTAAGCAACAGTCTACAAAATACCTAAGCAGTACTCAAAAACGTCAGGGTCCCGAAAAACAAGAAAAGATTTACGGACTGCCAGAGACCACCAGAGATGAAAGATGAAAGATGTCTAAATGTAAATACAGCGTATGTGTGAGGTTGGGTTCTATACCACAGGTTTTGCATGTTAAGATTTAAAATTTGTTAATTTTTTTTTTTGAGATGGAGTCTCACTCTGTCACCAGGCTGAAATGCAGTGGCACGATCTCAGCTCACTGCAGCCTCCACCTCCTGGGTTCAAGCAATTCTCCTGCTTCAGCCTCCCAAGTGGCTGGGACTACAGGCACACGCCACCACACTGAGCTAAGTTTTGTATTTTTAGTACAGATTGGTTTCAAGATGTTGGCCCAGGATGTTCTCGATCTCCTGACATTGTCATCCACCTGCCTCAGCCTTCCAAAGTGCTGAGATTACAGGCATGAGCCACTACGCCCAGCCAAAAATTGTTAAATCTTTAAAAGATGTATATATTCCTGGCTGGGCGCAGTGGCTCACACCTGTAATCCCAGCACTTTGGGAGGCCAAGGCAGATGGATCATGAGGTCAGGAGTTCAAGATCAGCCTGGCCAATATGGTGAAACCCCGTCTCTACTAAAAATACAGCCTCCCAACTTGGGAGGCTGAGGCAGAGAATCCCTTGAACCTGGGAGGCAGAGGTTTCAGTAAGCTGAGATCGAACCACTGTATACCAACCTGGGCAACAGAGCAAGACTCCACCTCAGAAAAAAAAACAAAAAAAAACTTATATACTCTAGTTTCAGCAAGTGCTTGTTAGTGACCCTAAATGTATTTTCCCCCTACTCTTCACTTTAGCACTGTTCCCTGTATTTGTCTGGCTCATGTACCTGTGAGAGGTACTGAGTGAAGCCTGTTTCTTCTTTCATGAAATATTCTCTTCTCACTAAAGTACACACTATTAGATGACATTAACACATGACAGGACCCAGCACTTGTGTGCCATGCGTCCCTCATTTGTTCCATATCACTCTCTAGTTTCTGACATTTACCATTTCCTCTCCTCACCTCTGGCCTCTTCCTTCATCATCTACAGGACTGCCATCTTCTGACAAGATCTGCAGACCACCCCACGCTTCCCAGGGCTGACCCTCCAACCCAGACTCTTTTGTGCATCCTATGAGGGACTGTACTTAAGGACAGCTGGTAGTTGGTGAAGATCATTGGAATGATTTTCAAACTACTCAGAATCAGGTCACATTGAAAAATTGCACACATTACTGTATCATAATTAAATATATTCTCAAACCTTTAGGAAATGTAAAAAGAGTCACATAATAATAAACACAAATCATAATGTGAATAATAACATACGGGGTGCTATAATGATCTATGGTCAGCATCCCTCTGAGGTAGGCATTATTATCCTCATTTTATGGTTAAGGAAATTGGGGCTCAAAGAGGTCAAGTAATTTCCCACAATTACACAAGTAGGTGGAGGCAGGCTAGCAGCCCCTTTCTGTTCTACAGGACTGCAAAGCCTGATGCTCACACTCATTCTACTATACCTTCTCCCTTGAGTTCAAAACTTAAGGGTTTTAGACTTTTCAAACTCACGAGAACAATTTTAAGTATTAAGACTTTCCTCCACTAATCAAGAACAATTTTAAGTATTAAGCGTTTCCTCCGCTTCATTCTGTTTCCAAAAAATATATACATCGTGTTAACTAATTATCAGCCCAACACGAACTCCTTATTGAAGCCTCTCCTCAGTGTGACTCAGGATCGCACTGGCCTTGCCATCCAGCTCGCTTCTTCAGTTCTGACACCCGGTCGGGATTGTCATCTTCTTCCTCAAAGTCCCTGTGAAAAAACAGTTTGGACCATAAACCTTTACATTAGGGCCACAGTATCTGTTGATTAATTCAAAGCGGAACACCACCATAACAACATTTAAGCCTCTGAAAAATGAGTTCCATAACGCAACTGAAGGGAAAAAATTGTTAGTTCTTCCAAAAGAAGTGATCCTCCTCATCTAGCCCAGGCTCAAGTCACTCTGGATCCAAAATGACAGAATCATGACCTCCATCAACATTGTCTGATGCTTCTGTTTCTTCAGACGGGACGTTTCAAGAACCCTTCCGAACCTTCAGGAGATATGAACAGGAAATATACCAATTTACACAGTATTTACTTATTTCATACAGTTTGACTAAACTCCTCCACAAGCTTGCTGGCTAACTGAGGACAATGCCATGTCCCATAACTCTTTTGTAGTGTCTCCACACATTACGCAACACAACTGTGGGCATACCTCAGGCCCCTGAAGCAGAAGCACCAGGACATGAATTAAATTTATAAACAGTACTTTCTTTTTTCCTTTTTTTTGAGTCGGGGTCTCACCCTGTCACCCAGACTGGAGTGCAGTGGCATCATAGCTCAATTCAGCCTCGATCTTCCAGGCTCAAGAGATCCTCCTACCTTAGACTCTTAAGTAGCTGGGACTATAGGTGTCCAGAACCATGCCTGGCTAATTATTTTAGTAGCGACGAGGTATCGCTATGTTGCCCAGGCTTGTCTTGAACTCCTGAGCTCAAGTAGTCCTCCTGTGTCAGCCTCCCAGACGGCTGGGATTACAGCTGTGAGCCACCACATGCAGCCTATAAACATGATTTTCTTTAAGAGAAAAAAAACTTGGAAAGTTACAATAAAACCCTCCAAATATAAGAATGTATACTATGGAAATAAAAGTTACCTTTGGAAGTTGGATTATAGCAATTTCTTTTTTCCTCTCAGCTTTCCCCTCCCAAGTTTTCACAATGAGGGGGAAGAAAAGTAGGAAACTGAAGGAGGACTATGTGTATGCTTTTAAAACATTTTCCAGATAATTACTTTCATATTTTCCACAAACAGCATGAAAACCTAACCTAAAAACATGGGCTGAATCTTATAAAAGGCATTTCAAAATAGAACTATATTTTTTGAACAGGGAGTTTCCTAAAATAACAAAACTTCATCACTAAACCAGACATAAAAACCAGGACCTAAAATTGCTAAACTGAAATTCATAACCATTAACCGTCCTTAACATCTTCCTCCCATGCATCAGCCTCTCCTTAGGGCTTTCATGATGTTTTGTGCTCTGCTCTGTTTGAATGCATATGCCACAGACCATGATAATTATTTATCAGTGTGCTGACCTCCCAGGTAATGAACTCCTTCATCATTAGGGCAGGATTTTTTTTTTTTTTTAATTGTACTTTAGGTTCTGGGGTACATGGGCAGATCATGCAGGATTGTTGCATAGGTACACACTTGGCAATGTGGTTTGCTGCCTCCATCCCCCCGTCACCTACATCTGGCATTTCTCCCCATGTTATCCCTCCCCGACCTCCCCATCCCCCTGCTATCACTCCCTTGGCCACCTCCTGAAACAGACCCCAGTGTGTGATGCTCCCCTCCCTGTGTCCATGTGTTCGACACCCATCTATGAGTGAGAACATGCAGTGTTTGATTTTCTGTTCTTGTGTCAGTTTGCTGAGAATGATGGTTTCCAGATTCATCCATGTCCCTACAAAGGACACGAACTCAATGTTTTTTATGGCTGCATAGTATTCCGTGGTTTATATGTGTCACATTTTCCTTGTCCAGTCTATCATCAATGGGCATTTGGGTTTGTTCCAGGTCTTTGCTATTGTAAACAGGGCTGCTATGAACCATACGTGTGCATGTGTCTTTATAATAGAATGATTTACAATCCTTTGGGTATATACCCAGTAATGGGATTGCTGGGTCAAATGGAATTTCTATTTCTAGGTCCTTAAGGAAGCACCACACTGTCTTCCACAATGGTCGAACTAGTTTACACTCCCACAAACAGTGTAAAAATGTTCCTGTTTCTCCACATCCTTTCCAGGATCTGTTGTCTCCAGATTTTTTAATGATTGCCATTCTAACTGGTATGAGGTGGTATCTCAATGTGGTTTTGATTTGCTTTTCTCTAATAATCAGTGATGATAAGCATTTTTTCATGTTTGTTGGCCTCATATATGTCTTCTTTTGTAAAGTGTCTGTTCATATCCTTCACCCACTTTTGGATGGGTCTGTTTGTTTTTTTCTTGTAAATCTGTTTTAGTTCTTTGTAGATTCTGGATATTAGCCCTTTGTCAGATGGATAGATTGAAAAAATTTTTTATCATTCTGTTGGTCGCTGGTTCACTCTAATGATTGTTTCTTTTGCTGTACAGAAGCTCTGGAGTTTAATTAGGTGCCATATGTCTATTTTGGCTTTTGCTGCCAATGTTGTTGGTGTTTTAGTCATGAAGTCCTTGCCTATGCCTATGTCCTGAATGGTTTTACCTAGGTTTTCTTCTAGGGTTTTTATGGTGTTAGGTCTTATGTTTAAGACTGTAATCCATCTGGAGTTAATTTTAGTGTAAGGTGTCAGGAAAGGGTCCAGTTTCTGTTTTCTGCACACTGCTAGCCAGTTTTCCCAACACCATTTATTAAATAGGGAATCCTTTCCTCATTGCTTGTTTTTGTCATGTTTGTCAAAGATCAGATGGTTGTAGATGTGTGGCGTTGCCTCCAAGGCCTCTGTTCTGTTCCATTGGTGTATGTATCTGTTTTGGTACCAGTACCATGTTGTTTTGATTACTGTAGGCTTGTAGTGTAGTTTGAAATCAGGTAGCATGATGCCTCTGGCTTTGTCCTTTTTGCTTAGGATTGTCTTGAGGAATTGTGTTTTATTCTTTTTTTATCTTAACCTATATTAGGCATTCAATATATTCACCAAATAAACAAATACAACTAAATCATTGCAATAAATATAGTCAGACTTGCCATACCATTACATGTTCTACTTGGTATAATTTATCTTAGATCTTAACCTAGCAAGGGGGCTTAGAAATTAAATTATCATAATTATAATATACATACACATATACATATCTAATGCAGACCATTGGCCTAGATTCCTAAGGATAGTATTATAAAAAATTACACAGTTTTAGCAAAAATGTCTGTTAAAAGAATTTAAAAATCAAATCCTAATTGTTCATCCTTTTTGAGCTTTATTCAATGTAACAGAGTTTAGGTATACAGAAGGAGAAATCTTGGAGTTGTTGCTAAGGCAATGGCATATCTGCATGATAAAAATGTGCTACGCTTCAAGGATAGTAGTAGCAGGATTATGAAAATAAGCAAACAAATGAGCAAATAGAAGTAATGTAGCTCTATGAAAAAATTTAATTGTAGCTTAAGACTAGATAGAAAAGATTAAAAAACACACAAAAATACAAAGCTATGAATTATTCTATAACTTTGAAATCAGAGGGTTTCTGGGAGGAGAAACGCTTTGATTTTAGTTTCGGAAGGTGAGAAAATTTCTGTGGATGGATAGTGGTGATGGCTGTACAGCAGTGTGAAGCACTGAGTGCCCCTGAACTGTGTACTTTAAAATGGTTCGGATGTACATTTTATGTTGTATCTTTTTACCACAATCTTCAAAAAGTCAAAGGGTTTCCAAGGTCGCATACAGACATGAATAACCTGGTCTATATATTGTGTATGTTTGAAATGCCAAGCTGAGGTCAGCATTCTGAAGGATGTTCAACAAAGTGCCAGGGGTCTTTTTGAGCCACTGCTTATGAGTAGTATTTTTGCTGTACTTTATTACAGAACCACCTAGTTGTGAAAAGACAAAAATTAGTGTCAAATAAAAAAAGATTTTTCAGCATGTACCTTCCAGATCATATTTTCAAGCAAAGTTAATTATATCTGACTGTCCACTAAAATCTGCTTCACTCACCTGTGTGAGCAATGCTCTGATGTGTGAAGCCAAATACCCTTCACAGACAATAAAAACCTCTAGCGCACCAAATAACTACTAGAAAAAGTTCTCTAATAAAATAATAGTATTCAGTCTGACTACTAACCTCTACTGTCCTCTGCTATTAAACTGGAGGGAGTATGAATGTATTTTCTAAAGCTGTAAGAGCTGTATTAGGTACATTTTTCTCCCACTGTCACCTGTGAAGATTTGGTGAACTGGCTTTCTGCAGACGGACTGACTTATTACCTGATTTTAAAGTGTAAAAAAGGAATGCCAAGAATGTTATTTTATGTATTCATCTCTGTCCACACATACACTCTAACAAAATGGAAGTGTTTATTTTTTCTTTCAAACTCAGATCTAGCAACAATGTTCTTTCAAATCTAAGCGGCAAAGGAAATTAAAAAAAAAAATCCAAAATGAAAAGTTAAAATGAATCGTTAATGTGACTAAATTAAAAAAATAATAATATGTATATAATTACATATTACATGTTATACAAGAAGGAAGCCCCATGAGGACTTAAATACACACAGTATGCTATGCTTTTCATGTTGGATAGCACAAAAAATACTACTCTTCCTAGTGGCTTTTACTGATAAATACTATACTCTCTTATGTGGTAAATAAATAAAATATTCCTAAAACATTAAATAAGTTACTAGATAAGCAAACAAATACTGGCTTATACTCTTTGTTTATGATACCTGAGACCTAGTAACATAAATATTGGTACTTCCTCCGTATTCCCCAACTCCTCATCTAAGAAATGATTAGAATTTGAATGACTTACCATTTTCTTCTCTGTTTACTCTTCTCAATGCACTTTCTTTTTTTTTTCTTTTTATTTTTTTTTTGAGATGGAGTTTCACTCTTGTTATCCAGGCTGGAGTGCAATGGCGCGATCTTGGCTCACCGCAACCTCCGCCTCCTGGGTTCAAGCAATTCTCCTGCCTCAGCCTCCTGAGTAGCTGGGACTACAGGTGTGTGCCACCGTGCCCAGCTAATTTTTGTATTTTTAGTAGAGATGGCGTTTCACCATGTTGACCAGGATGGTCTTGATCTCTTGACCTCGTGATCCACCCGCCTCAGCCTCCCAAAGTGCTGGGATTACAGGCGTGAGCCACCGCGCCCGGCCTCAATACACTTTCAACTAAATTTTCATTAATGCTTTCCAAATCAGGATGGCTACACTTTCTGTTTTGTTCTTCCTCCTGCCTTAAAAGAAATTTAAAATACAGATTAAATAATGCTTGAATTGCTAAAAAAAAGGTAAACAAATATGCAAAGTCGCTATTTTAATTTCAGATAAAAATGGATTAAAAAACATGACTAATCATAGAACCCCAAAGACATGTATATTAATAGCCATATATACCTGTATGTATTTAATAACATGTATATTAACCATAAACCTACATATGTGTATATATTAATAGACATACACATTCATAGCCATTAATATCAATGATTATAAGTATGAAAAGGATATATTAAAATGACAGATGTTTGGCAGGTCTTTATAAGGAAAAGAGTAATGAAAATTTCAATATGGTTTGCTAAATTGGGCTTTATGAACTATAATATCAAAATGAGATATTTTATAAAGTTGCCATATAGAGTCAAAATGTTCCCACCTAATTCAGTATCTTTCCAAATTACCTAAGCCCTTGATTTATTTCATGAAATATAATAATACACTATCTAGTTTACTGAATCTGCATATATTTTGAGGAGTACATATTGAATGTCTAAAAAGTCCCAGGCAAACAAATTCTCAATTATTTGTTGAATGAATCAATAACAGTAGGCTTGGCTGGCATGTTGGATTTTCATCTTTCTAAGCAGTGGTTCTCAAACTTCTCTTCCCACACATGTAGGGAACACAAAAATCTGTCACTTTTCAGCGGTGGCTCACTTACTGCAGTGATTTCAAAGCCTCCTACACTCAAGATCAACATCAGAATCTTGAGGAATAGTGGTGAGGGGCAGCTGTGAAAAGCCCCCAGGGGACTCCAGTCTTTCCTTGCCATTGGGGATCACTGCGTCTGCAGTGGCCTCCCACCGTCTTCTGGATGCTACTCAATCTGCCTTCATTGCCACCATCCTTTGCTGGCCTGCACACGAGTTTTCCTGCCTCAAGTCCTTCATGCCCTGACTGACTTTTTGGCCTTTTCTCCATTCTGTTTACAAGTTGCACCCTTTTCATTTTGTGAGCACATATTGCTGTGTTCACTACAGGTGGTATCAAATTATAGCGCGTGGACACAGATCATCTGCAGAGGGGCACAAGGAAGCATTTTAGGGGATAGAAACTCTTTTCTTTTTTAGACAGGGTCTTGCTGTGTCACCCAGGCTGGAGTGCAGTGGTGCAATCATAGCTCACTGCAGCTACACTCCCAGGCTCAGGCAATCCTCCTGCCTCAGCTTCCCACAGGCATGTGCCACCGTACCCAGCTAAATTTTTTTTTTTTTTTTT